TGAAACAAAAGATATTCTCAAGTTTTGAAACAAAATGTTCACAACATGGACTATAGGAAGTGTATAATCGTGATGCCTGAAAAGGCACAAAATTGCGACGATACCAGTAAAGAACTTTCAAGAAGCATTAGTTTATCAAATTTAAATGTAAAAGTAGAAAAGGTTCAAAATTTCAGAAATTTAAATCACAGACGAAGGAAACTTCTATGATAAATAAAAAAATGAATTGAAAGATAAATTGAAAAACAAATATAGCATATCTGAAGCAAAACTGATAAAACCCAAAATCAAAATTATTGGTTATCAACTGAACAAGAAATTAAAGTAAAAATTACGTCTGGGAACCAATTTATTTTTAAAAAGATAGCAAGATTACATTTGTGAAAAATATATACAATTTCAAAATACCTTCAAAATTTTTGCAGAAGTTTCCAGTAAATTGTACAGAGATATCTATAACCAGGGATTGCTCATGGTATAACAAAGTTTGATTGTTGTTACACTTGCTTATCTTTCTAGTAGGCTATTTAACATATTACCGAATGATTTAAGGGATACTTTTAATAAAACGAAATTTAACAAGAAAAATCATATTTGTGGAAAATCGACACGAAATTGCAAGAATGATAGAAAAATCGACACGAAATTGCAAGGATGATAGATATGAAAAAAAGCTAAACTCAATGTAGTACTATAAAATCCTCATGTTCAAATATATGTGTATGTATCTGTGAACCATGTATAGGTATAGTTACGTAAATATTTCTCTAAGCTTTAAGTAGTTCATTTTCACATACAAGAATTAGTTCTTTTGAGACTATGTTACAAATACCCATTTGCATCAAATTGTTAATGCTTTTGATTTTTATCATCCGTTTTATCAGCCTGAAATTTCCTACAATTCAAAAAGAAAACATAATTAGGAGATCATTAACACAGACATGGAACAGTAGATATCTAGAAATACCCCAGCCTGTCTGAAGACTATGGAAATCAGGGAGGCCATAAAGGCGCCATACAATTGTGGAACGACTGACTGTACGTTATTCATATATGGATTATCTCAGAAAGTAAACAGCAGATTTCATCCAAACCTCACAGAAACATCTGTCGATACTGTTATACCCAACTAAGAATTATCACTCCTATTAGAGTTGCAAGAATGATTATACAGTATTCCTTACACAGCATTGTATGATGTAGGAACATTGGAAAAACGCTCTTAGAACAGCTATACAAGCGGAATGGGCACACCTATAGGACACTCCAGTCATTTAAGAGGTTGTATAAGGTCTGCAGGTAACAGTTATACAACAAAAGTGTAAACCTCTTGCAGCCGCTATAGAACATTTGCGTCAGTGCAAGATCCAATTACTGTTACATGATTCTACTTTATTGCAACTAAACTATTTCTTATATGTATATTGTATAGGCGAAGTGAAGAATATATAACTAACACATTACAGTCATCTTGTTTACTTACATATTGGCCATTGTGAATTTCATACACAGAGATATATGATAAACTTCTACACTGTGATATAGCGCCATTGAATTACTTGCATAGCAAATTTTATTAGGGTTATCGTGCAAAGTAGTCACGCAATTTCTACGGGCTTCGTATTTGATCCATATGTGTATTTAACAATGATCAAAAATATGTCTAGATTTTTAAGATGAAAAACTGAACTTATCTGCGTTAAATCTCCCACAAATCCTATATTTAGACACAGTTACACTAATGTTTATCACTTTATATCTGAAATTTCGAACTGAAACATAATTATTTAATTTTCAATAGAGGAATATATGTTTCCCATCTTGGCGGGAGGTTAGGTATAATCATGGCATCGTCCATGTTGTCTTTGGTTTATTAGAATATTTTTGTTGTCTGGAGGTGTTATACAATAATTTGGCAAATATCTAAAATGAAATACGGACAGAGTCGAAAGATTTACCCAGAATTTGTACCAGATCTATATCTTCTCTTTGAACAGTTGACAAAACCTTTTAAACCAATATGTATGCGTTGCTTGTCTTAAAACAATCGTTATGGCATTTTAACTAAAAAGATCACAGCAGAAAGCTACGTTATGGTGAAGTCGTATACCAACATATTTAGTAACAAATGTATGCCGAGCACAGCAATTTTGTGCTATAAAAGTTATAATATTGTTGCAGGTGTACAGCCTTTAACAGTTACTAAACGACAATTGCATGAGTGCTTCCGTTGGGAGTAATTTGTTGGCTAAAGTAGTAAATATGCACACGAAAACAACAAGCGCGGGTTTGTTGTATAAACGTTACCGTGGATGCCACACCACAACTATTTTGTCTACCGCGCAAATAAGCCGTATAAAATAGTTGTATAAGCGTTTATGCAACAGTTCAAAATTTGTCCTATAAGGTGTTGTATAACTATGCTATACACCTCATTATAGAGTAAATATGCTGGAGAAAGTAAATTTGCATTCCACACAACATTAAGCCAGCATTTTGGTATTCAGGCAACAATAGATAGCTTTTACGGCTGAACAGTTCTTTAACGAAAAGCTTATAGCACTACTTTGCTAGTTGGGTAATGAGCATAGACACTTCTATAAATTGTGACCAGGCAACAAGTAAAGCATTGAAGTAGTCCAAGTACATAGATAGAGAACATTTCGCTCATTGAATGCAGAACTAGCCCAAGTCCATTTTTGCCGAATTTGCATTAACAACACCATGGGATGCTATGGCGCATGCCGGATTTGGGTGCAGAACTAGCCTATAATATCAACACGTTATCCCCTCTACCGCGTCTATTATGCAAATATCCCAACTTGCGACGCGTTCCGAGATTCAGTGCAGAAGAATCCCTTGGCGGTTGCGTATGCTAAGTATGTGCTTTGTATGGACATAGGCTAGTTCTGTATTAGAATTTGTATACCAAGTACATAGTAGCTGTGGACATAGAATACTTCTGCAATACAGTAACATCCTTAAAAGTAGCGATATTATTTTGTATATCGCGGTCACAATGAATTCTAGAACTCTAAAAATGATACAATTGGTGGCCCCGAAAAAATCAGAAGGCACCCCGAAGGCTGGTAAGACAATAAATTAAGTTTTAACAATTTCCGAATTATGTATGGGTATGATTTGTAGGCCTACAACATCAAGAGAAAAGGAGCTCATCTACATCGTTTACTCCGAGTGCCAAACAAAAAATTGGAGAGGCTATTACAGAAGGTAAGTGACATTAGACTTCGATACTGTATAAACTATAAAGTTATAATCTACAAAAGACGATATGAGGGTGACTCGAAGAGGAATAAGAAGGGAAAACTGATTGGCTTATAGGATTATAGCTAAACAATTATTAACCCGACTATTATTTTCTGTAGGTGGATCTCAAAAATTTTCCCACATTCGTTCGTGTTGCTTTTCTGTTAATTTACAAAGTCCAATTTGATTCTAGAATATGTACAAGAAGATGATGGGGGATTAACAACGTCGAACAACCAAGCTGATGATATTCCCAAAATACCTTCAACGGCAAGAAGCATAGCTCAACTGATGCAGGACAGTATCACCCAACAGCCTCCTCTTTTTTGATGCCTTGGGAAAGTTCAACTTACATCCTACAAAAGAACTCTGTAACCATTGAGGGATTTCCATCGAATGAAATCCTTAAGATCATTAATCCCGCTGTAGTTGAATTGAACGGTGGAGATACATATGAGAAAACTGTTCTACAAAATACTGACTTCAAGTCAAAACCCTCAAATACTATAGAGGATGATTTTATGCTTTCTGAATGTGAGAGTGACCCGTTTGCCACCAGTGATGATAGCAATGACATGGACTATATACCAACATTAAGGAAAAACTCAACTCACAGTAGAGATCCAGATGATATCGAAAACTCATCAGAACATGATGATAAAAATGAGCCAATGAAAACCAAGAAAAATACAGGGAAGAGACAGAGGAATCCGGGTGAATGGAGAAGAAATGAAATAAAGAAGCTGCGGAATCTTGGCGAGAAGTATATAGACTGGAGAGGAAACCTTCGTCCAAAAAGGCAAACAAAACCTCCTTGTACTAACTGCAGACAAAAGTGCAGCGAAAAGTTCACAGAAGAAGAGAGGAAACAGATATTTGAGAGATATTGGCAACTGGGGGACGTCAATAGACAACGGGATTTTATTGCCCAGTATGTAAATATAATGGACAAGAAAAGAACACGGTTGAGAAAGCAGGATGGGAACAGTAGTAACGAAGATACAGAAAACACAACAGGAAGAAAAAAGACGTTTTCCTTTAAGTATACATTTTTAAATCGTGGACAGAAAATATCGGTCTGTAAAACTTTTTTTATGTATACTTTAGGGATAAGCGCCCAGGTCATTAAGACAGTGTTCAAAAAAATGGGTAGCACCGGTACAGTCGGGGCAGATCGGCGTGGTAAAGCATGCGAGAATTCTAAATTGAATGATTCAATAAAGCAGTCAGTGAGGAACCACATTAATCTATTCGAAACAGTCGAGAGTCACTACTGCCGAAAAAACACTTCAAAGCAATTTCTGCCACCAACGCTTAATATTTCGAAGATGTATGGCCTTTATCTTGAATATTGTGAGCAGAACAACATCCAACCTGCGACAAAAAGCATTTACAGAATAATCTTCAACACCGAATTCAACTTCTCATTTTTCATCCCTAAAAAAGATTTGTGTGATATTTGCAACAAGTATGATGGCGGAACAACAGAAGAAAGAACTGAAATGGAAGAATAATACCAGTTGCACAGAAAGAACAAGGACATTGGACGGGATTTAAAGAATGCTGATAAACAAACGGCTAAGCAAAATAGAGAATTTTATGCAGCCGTTTTTGATTTGGAACAAATACTGCCTCTCCTCAAAAGTAATGTTGGTATGGCATATTACAAACTTAAATTATCAACATACAATTTCACGATTTTTAACTTGGCAAATTCTGAAGGACATTGTTACATGTGGTACGAGTCTGTTGGGAAAAGGGGAAGCTCAGAAATAGGCAGCTGTTTGATGCGCTTTATCGACCTCAAAGTACATGAAGGTACGAGAGAATTTTCTTTCTATTCCGACAATTGTGCAGGTCAAAATCGAAACAAATGTATTTTTAGTACGTATAGCTTATTAGCACAGAAGCACAATATTGTGATAAGGCATACATTTTTGGAGAAAGGTCATACGCAAACCGAAGGGGATTCTATGCATAGTGTAATTGAACGAGCATCTAAGCTTATCCCTTTATTTACCCCTGATCAATGGTATACTTTAGTACGCACGGCAAAAAGAAGTAAACCGTATGTAGTAACTGAGATGGGCAAAGAGGATTTTTTTGATTTGAAAGCGCTTGCCAAGGATACCATTTTGAATTGGGATCGTGATGTGGAAAATGAGAAGGTTTCTATAAATAAAATACGAATTTTAGAGGCAACCTTCAGATTTCCAAATAAAATTTTATTCAAATACGACTACAATGAACCGTTCAGAACAATTGATTTATTAACAAAAGGCAGGAGGACAATTGATGTTGATCTAAAAAATATACAGTTAAAGCAATGTTACAAGGGTGCTATCCCGATCAGCAAAAAAAGTATGATCATCTGCAATTCCTATGTGACAAGGGGATTATACCTACTCGGTACCGCAGTTTCTACAAGAACTTACAGTATTCCAACATAAGTAGGGATGACGACTCAGAATAGAAGTTCATTATTTTTCTGTTACAAAAAGTTTCTTAATACTAGCACTTTTTTATTTATCAGGTAGCAATAGTTGATCTGGTGGGGATACTGAATTATAATTGTTATTTCCTGTTATTATTTTGAGCACTGTTCATCGTTTGCCTGAATGCCTCGCTTATGTTTTGCTAGTTAATTATAATATTATGTACCTGTATAATAAGACTGCTTAGTTGTCAATAAATGTTTTCAACGTATTCCCGTTTCTATTTTTGTACTGAATAAGCTGAATGTACATATATAGATATAAACATGGGTCAGAACTAGCCTATGTTACTTATATTACGACTACACCTTATCCTATGTGGACATAGGATACAACTTCCACGAGGACGAGTATCCTAAGTCCACAAATTTCGGCTTTGTAAGCCTAAATAAAAAAAACCTTAAAAGAGCAAAACACATGCAAGTATACTCATATTATGAATACATTTTCATTCAAGACTTGCAAGAAGTTTAAGACAAAATCAAAAAAAATGATCTCCTGTAAAATTTGCATTTTGTGACTTGAGCTAGTTCTGCATTCAATGAGCGATTTGATCTCACTATTAGAATCCCAAAAACGGTCCATTTGTACCCGACTGCATCACGAGGGTTGTTTTTCGCGCGTGGGTATGAATGTATGTACGTGACAATAATAATTTTAATGGATAGGATAAATAGTGTTGTTACATACGTCATAGCAGCAGGACTGACACTGGGTATGTTAGGATTTTATGAAATCAAAATGCAGGATTTTGATGGAAAATTTAATATGATATATCTCTAGATATATATCTAGATATGTTTGGCAAGGCAAGTGATACTTGGTATATAAAAATATTATCAAGTCGAATTCGCGGGTTTTGTGACGCAAATTGTAACTTTGAGATTTCTATTTCATGAGTCCAAATGGCTTGAATGACCTTGACCTTTGAGGTAGCCTTAGATTCGTATTGATAGCATAATTACAATTCAATTCCTTTCAGTTAGTGCGATCGGTCTTTTTGTCTTTTGAAAATGTACTTGTCTATAAACATTAACAATTGAAGACAGGTGGATAAAGGTGTCATATAACATAACCATTTAATGGAGACAATTGACTTTAAACAGTTTTTATTGGGACTATTCACTTTGTTGACATGTAAATATTTAGTTTTATCAGTTTGTTATTATCTTGTTTTTGCAACAAAGTAACCACAGAATGAAAGAGTCACTCCTTAAGGTTAGTCTAAATAAATAAATAAAAAAATTTTACATGACACCTTAATCCAGTTGTGTCTTCAATTATAGGTATATCAAATACATTCGGCAAAACTGGCAATTTCGATCGACCTTCAATAAGCTTTGCATGCCCGGCAACAATAAGAGTAATCCAGTTCATTTTCTAGACTATGGCGTAACCGCCACCATAGAGACAACCGCTAATAATAAGGGTCACAACCTACGTAGGCCAAATGCCCTGAAAGGCCGGTCCCCTGTTATGTTCTTAGAGATGAGCGGGATTAATGAAATCGCGGATTTTGTTTTCGGCCTGGCTTGTAGCGTTTTTGCGCACACCAAATTTTGCGGCCTAACCGCTGTAATCAATCTATCAGAGGTCCGGTAAGGTGAAGGAGACTGAGCACTCAAAGAGATTAAGGCTCGCTTTGTGTTAATCATATCCAGTTCCCACACGTATAAAGGAGGGAATGAGGGAATTAGGAGTCTCGAGCATCGGACAACGTTATTGCATTTCCCAGATCTTATCGACATTAAATGAGCTGTCGGCTGAATAACAAGGAAGGTTGCTTCACACGCATAAGTAAGGGAAATAATTTGGAAGCAGAATAATTATAGTATATTCATTGAATCAAAGCAGTTATGTTACAACGTCAAATAATGACAGACACGCACATGGTTGCCACATTAAATAAAACTATTAGATCCTAGGAGCTCTTACAAAATCTACTTTACTTTATGTCTTCGATGCCTTACCGCAACCAACATTACGGCGCATATGTCCTATAAATTCTAGAGCTAGTGATAGTGTTTTAGTTACTAGCAGAAACTAGCTTCTTTTCGAAAATAATATAAAAACTAGGCTATTTGGAAAGGAATAACAAATTTTAGAATAGATACTTTTTACTACCCACTCAAACCATATTTTAACTTTATTACAATTTTATAATTCAAATTAAATTACACAACATTCTAAAACAGCTATAAGAAAAATGAACATTGAACTGAAATTTGTTCAAAGTACAAAATTCTCGGAATAAAGACTTACGTATAAATAATAGTTTTAGTTGTAAAAAGTTCTAGTCACTAGAACTCTTTGAATTGCTACCACTATCTTCCTCATTTACATTTATAATAATTGGTGAAATATCAGGTTGGTCTAGATATTTTTCTCTTTCTCGCCATCTCAGAACTTCGTTTTCAGTAATTTCGGCTGTAACAGTTTGTGAAGGTTCTCGCCTTAAATTGATACAGTGCTCTACAGTTCTGGCATATCGACCCACATGTTTATTGTAGTAGGACTTTGTTATGCCCTAAACATTTTCAATAGGGTTAAAAATACAATGATGGGTAGTAATCCTAATACTTTAGGTTCATACTGTTCGGCTAATACAACAGCATATCTTATCTGCGGTTTGTATTCCTGTACCTTCTGGAGTAGTTGTGCTTTGAACACGTCAGGACTAAAATGAATTTCATTATCGCACAACCATTTCTTAATATCCTCGTTTTTGGATGCTGTTTCTCAATAATAATAATAATAATAATAATAATAATAATAATAAATCGTCTTGATTTAGGGGGCGACGTTTAGCATAATGCTACTCTGCCACTTAACCCCAAAAAAAAAGAAAAACTGAGGCTATTCAATATTTCATGATTTAAAAGTATAAAATTGTAACAGTTACACAAAACAAAGGAATGCTATATTGGAAATATTTTTGTGTGAGGTGACAGATAAATTTCATCAACTTCTGTTCAAAATAAATTTCTTCATATGTCTTTTAAATTCATCATATGATAGCAATTTTGTGGATCGAGGTAGAGCATTGTAAAAAATAATTGCGTTGTAGGTGAAGCATTTACGAAAGAATGATATCCTGTGGAGGGGCATTGTGTGTGTTTCAGTGAATCGAATGTCCCTAGAAGAGATATTGCTTCTAGATATCAGCTTATTTCTCAAAAACGGCGGAATGGATGATAGCAAAAGCCTGTGGGTGAAAGTAACTAAGTGTAGCTCACACAGTTCGTTTACTCTCAACCACTTCATGTCATTGAAAAAGGGGCTGATATGATCATATTTTTTCAAATTATTGATCAACCTACAACACGAGTTTTGGATTTTTTGGAGTCGTACTAGAGATATTGAGTCAAGAAATGGAAGATAAACTAAATCGCAATAACTAATTTTTACCAAAGATTCACACAAAATTTGTTTAGCTGCAAAGTCAAGAAATTGTTTATTAAGATATTATTGACGTAAAATTGAAAAACAACTCTTACTGATATTATTTACATGTGTTATAAATGTATGCTGAATCTACATTTACCTCAGATTCAGCATTTCGAATGTCGTGATTATGGAAATGACTGTAGATATGTGAATCGTCGGCAAAGAATTGGAGATTACAATATTTAACAAATGAGTGGAGATCAGAAATATGCAAAATCAATATGAGTGGCCAAGTACAGACCTTTGAGGCACCCCGTAGGAAATCACGCACTTTGAAGATAGAACCATGTCAATATGTACCCTTTGATACCGATTTCCTAAGAAGCTCTGAATCATTTTTGAGGCAGAGTCAGAAAAAACAAAATATTTGCACTTGGCTACTAGAAGATGATGATTTATGGTATCGAATGCCTTAGAGAAGTCAAGAAGAACTAATGATGTGATCATATGTTGATCCCAGGCTCTAGCAATGTTATCGGTTAAGTCTAATAGGGCACCTGCATGTGTTATATCGTTTTCGATAACCACATTGTTTGGGAGGCAAAATTTTATGTTTAGAGAGATAATCGTAAATTTGGACGTACATTGCTTTTTCTAATAACTTGGACAAAACAGGTAAGATACTAATTGATCTTAAATCAGAATATATTTTTGGTTTACTTATTTTAGCTTGAGGTAACACTAATGCTTCTTTCCATGATTCTGTAAAGACTCCCCTTTCTAAACAGGTATTTATGATCTGTAAAATGTGACCTGAAATCGCAAAGAAGCATAGTTTTAGCATTCTGAGTGACACGTTATCACTTTCCAAGGCATTCGATTTCAGAGACTGGAACATCGATTTTAAATCAGTCATGTCGATTGGTTTAAACTTGAATCGATCACTGGAATAGTGATTCTTTTCATAATGCTCAATCTTCTCTGTGCATGAACATATGGCGTTATTAAAAATGGAACAGAAATATTTATTAATGTCAGTAGGGTTCTTTAAATGTAGGGGAATATCGGTATTTTGTGACTGTTGGATACGCATTGATTTTAAGGATCTATAAAACATTTTTTAATCATTTTGGTGACGGAGGGATAATAAATATGCTGCTTTTTCATATCTAATTTGACTTAAAGTCGAATTTCTGAGCTCTTTGTAGCGGAATCTTATTAATTTTAAACTGATTTAGAGCTCTGTCTCTGTCTTTCATCATACGTTTAAGCTGGGATGATAACCAGGGTGCATGTGGTTTATTTACACGTACAATTCTTAGAGGTGCATGCTTATCAAAAATTAATTTTAGCCCATCTGTCAAATATGAAATTTTATGGTCAATACTCTCTACGGAATACATAATGCTCCAGGGAAAGTTTAAAACATCATTTTGAAATGATAAAATATCAAAATTTTTTAAAGTCTCTGAATTTAACGAATTTTTGCTTAGGTTTTTTAGACTGCAAAGTTGTTTCACAAAATACTAAAAAATGATCGGTACATAAATCCATATTTATAGTCCCAGAATTTGAACAGACTTGCAGATCATTGATAAATATGGGATCCAGTAGGCTACTCGAAGTACTAGTTATTCTAGAGGGTTTTATAATAACTTGATGGAATCCATACGCATTAAAACAATTTTCTAATTTGTTGTCTGGACTTAAAAGATTCATATTCATATCTCCAACAACTATAACATAAAGTTGGGTACCAGAAAAGAGAGAGCGTTATCAAAAAAATCAATGGCCTCATCAACATTGTTATGGGGAGGTCGGTAAATTACCCCAAAGGCAAGAGTTTGACCACATAATTTCAATTTAAACCACATATTTTGAACACTAGGAAAGTAGCCAATATGGTTCTCAATCTACAATTCTTCACAGAGCAAACCATTTCTCACGTAAATGCCCAGGCCTCCACCGCAACTCTCCCTATCTTTTCGATAGAATATATATCTTTGAATATACAAAAGACTATCCAGGATGTTTTCATTGAGCCATGTTTCAGATAGAGCTAAAATATCGTAATCAGAATTTTCCATGATGATTTGTATCATATTGTGGTTGATTGATTGCAGGAGGAAATGTCATGGTTTTCTCAACATGTTGAACATACTTTACAATTTTGACATTTTTTGGTTGAATGATTAAACCTTAAGCAATTTTTATATACATTGTGATACTATATTGCTGCCATAAACAATAATATTTTCAAATCCTAATAAATTTTTTCCATTGTTGTTATCAAAAATATATCTAAATAATTTACCTGTCACTTCAGCAAAAAGAATGTAAAATTTTTTGTGTGCAACATAATATGAGTAATGGATGTATCTCCGTTAGCCACAAAGTGATTTTTTTTATAATTTCTTCTTGCATTTCTCTTTCGGTAATTTTTTCCTCCCAACGATAACCAACTGTTTTAATTGTCGGCTTGAAGATTCTTGGTTCAGACATCTTGTAGGATGTATGTATATTTTTTTCGATTTCTTGTTTAAGTTGGGTATGAACACAATCTTGAACGTTTATTTCTACAGCTCCATTTCTGCAGTTTTTGACCTACCTGAAGTTTCGAGAGGTCTAAGTATTTGTTGCGATCATATCTGGTCTTGTAGCTTGGTTGGTGTTGATCAGGTGTAATGATTATGCTTTTCAAAGATCTTGTCTCTTTGTTTGGTGATGCTTTACTTGCGGTTGATTTTTCAAATTCTTCTATTCGTGTATTTAGTATTTCCAGTGTGCTGATAATAGTGTCCTTTTCTACAACCTTGGCGGCTAATATATCGTGGTGCTCTTGTAACCTACGATTTTCGTTGGACAATTGATGAACTAGCCTAACTTTTTCAGCTAGTAGTTCAATTTTCTCATTAAGTGACTTAATTTCTTGTTTAAGTGCTGCTTCCGTATTTTTGTGATTATTTATTATCGTTCGAACTTCTTGATTTTGTGCTGTTCCTAAATCATTTTCATTTTTATTGACTATAATTTTATGGCTATCCACTTGATTTATACCGTCTTCTTCATTTTTCTTTTTCTTCTTGCTCATCTTCGACTTTCAGTCTAGAGTAACACTTAGTACAGCACTTTTACCTGATTTCTGACTTCTCTGACTTTAACTTCTCGTGAATTTGATTGTCAAAAATTGTATGTCAGATTCTGAAGATCAAAATGGCCGAAACTGATATGCGAGCGAGCAGATTCCTCACCATTGTTCCCAGGGGTATATTTCTTCCTTATGTTGTACACCTTCTCAACAAATCAATTTTAAATGTCGTAGGACTGGTGATATATAATTATCAAAATCGGTAGCTTTACAAATAAGTTTGTAGCAAACTATATCAATCACTATGCAGGTACTATGGTATGGTGCATTTTCCATAACTATAACCGAGAGCTATTTTAAATTCTTAAATAATTACTTTTCAAACCACTGCAGAAATTTGTCATTATTCATTTCCCCATGATAGTCTCCATGATTTAATGATGATGAAAATACTAATTCTGCTCCATGAATAAATCCATTTATATTTCCGGCATGTATATATACCTGTACCTATATATTGAGGAACTATCTGTTATTTTCATAAGGGTAAAACTGATATCAGACCACATTTCAAGCACATTTTTCTAAGTGTTCTGCCAAATACTTGTACATATCAAAATAAAAAGCTCTATACAAGAAACAAGAATAAGAATTTACATTGTAATGAAGGTTAACCTGTACACCCCTGTGTTTCAAATAAGGTACTGACCTTTTTCCTTCTCTTTTAATAATCTTCACTGATTTTACACTACTGTCCGGCCATGATTGACCTGGTGTACCATCCTGAAAGATCTATACTTCGTCAAGAAAGACAAACGGAAATATGTTTGCTGATTTTTATTCCAGATATGCTCGAAGAAATGCTATTCTTTTAGAAGCAATGTGACTCAGTTCTATTAATCTTTTTGCCATTTAAATACTATTTGTTTTAAAGGTTTACACAATGATACTTTTCCACCTATGAATAAATGTCGGTCTTTTAGTTAACTTGCCAATGTGGAAAGTGTAACATGTTCTTCTAAAATTAAAACACAATATTCATAGCAATAAATTTTGTATTATATGTAGTGAAAATTAAAAAGCTCACTTTGTTTATACATGTCATATATCACATCACGAATTGCTTGACTGGATGAAGCCAATGCAGTGACAGTCTTCTTGTGAGGACGGTGTTTCTTTTGGGGATGCAGGTACCAGCTTTGCATTGAGAAGATAACATGTTTACCGTTGACAAACTTATTTTCATTGCATCAGCGACACGCTGTTAAGAAAATACGTAGATTATTAAATAAATACATTCTACTTACTGGCTAATACCACTCTTGCGGACTGTGAAGGAAATAATGGAGCTCCATGATCTTGTTCGGGCTCAAAATATTTCGTCAAAGAAGAGACGAATTCTTTGGCTTGTAGGCTCAGAGGTTTCGGCATTTTAGCATAATGCTTAAAAGGACACCTCAAAAAGCTGCTTTTATGAAATAACAATGCAAAAATTAAGGCAAAAAGAACGAAAATAAACCACAAATAATTAATTACCTGACGAGATTTACGACAATGTCACAATACAGAAAACTGTTACCAACATAAGTGTATCCGCGAAATTCAAACTATACGTACCAATTTAGGATCTATTTTGCATTAAGTTTGGCATCCAAATTCACTAAATATGACGTAACTGCTTTGTTTCAGTGAAAGGACTACATATAAATATTTTTGTCCCATGATGTAGATTCGTTGAAAGTGGTCACTAACACGAATTGGGCAACTTTGCCTCCTTTTAACAGACTTCCTATAATTAACCGTTTCAGAGGTGCCAGTGGTGACGGTCGAATTTGAAACACCAGTAAGGTAGGCTGCATATTAGCCCGTAATCTCATGACGCCAATTAATCTCAATGCATCCACCAAAGATCAGGGCATTTAATTATTCTCCAACGTTAATTATCTCCATGAATGCACATAACGTTTGCGTATTCTACGGCGTACTTGCTCCGGGGTTCAAGTTCTATTCGGTTATTCATCTTCATCATGGGCGTAGTCGTTATCAAAATAGTACAGAGGGGGTAAAAAATACAATTCTGGTAAGGCGATGGAAAAACTAAGATCATATTTTTTAGACTATTTGATCACTGCCACGCAAAATTAACCCGACAAACAACATTTTGTTCAAATTAAATTTCTAATCTTTGCATCAATTTCGTTAAATGTTTCGTCAAGTTGTAGGTAATTTCATTTCATCATTATCGACTGCCGACCTTGCAAAACAATTGAAAATGTTTGTTGTTATACAGGGTATAACTAAAAGGTTCATTTTGCTGTAAATTTCTGAACACCATGTGGAAGCATTAGAACTGAATAATGTGTCTTCGTATGAGAATTTTGAGTGTCAACTTTTCTCAACAGTTTTTTTTTGACATTGGACAAAAACTATGCGAATCATGACCATAAACAATTTAACTTAAGAAACTACAGTGGTTGGTAATTAGAAATGTTATCAAAAACGAGCATTTGCTCCCCTGGCTTGAATAATAGCTCTCATCTTCTTTGGCATAGACTCAATTAAACCATCTATGTTGTCTTGGGGTATTTGCTCTCCCTCGTTTACCAGCGCCTGTTCCGACGCAGCCACAGTTTGAAATTCTCCATAGTTCTGCCTAAGCCTTCCTAGTGTATCCCACATGAACTCAAAGGGGTTGAATTCCAACATCGTTCAGGTAATGCCTAGTCATTCTGGCTATAGCTTGCATTGGGAGAAAATTTTCTCCTATAAAGGGCATCTGAGGAACCACATGTTCTTCCAAACACTCTCTAATGTACCTGTCATCAGTAAGGTGTCCTCCTCGTGGCGCAACAAGATCTGTGCGGGATTCCAAAGAAATACCGCCCCATACCATCACTCCTTCACCACCAAATTGCACTCTAGGAGCAAAACAACTTTGAGCATACTGTTCTCCACGCCTTCTCCACAGTTTTTGGCGACCATCAGGTGAATATCTCCTGAAAAGAGAGTCATTTGTAAAAAGAACGTTTTTCCAGTCATTCATATCCCAATCTGCATGAGTTTGAGAAAATACCAAGCGCTGCCTTCAATGACCTACATCCAATAGAGGACCTGTAGCAGGTACACAAGATGATCGGCGTACGGTCTCAGGTGAAACTATGCTACCATGAACATCATCCAGTCTTCGAGTCAAAGCTGTAGCAGATACTGTCCTTCCTCGAAGAGCTTGAAGTCTTAGAAACCGATCTTCAACTGCGTTTATTGCTTTCCGTCTTCCCTGACCAGGTCTTCTTGAGTAAGAACCAGTTTCTCTAAATCTTTGTATCGCATCGAATACCGTACTGCGTGGAACGGCAAGCCTTTCTGCGATATACCGAATAGGACGACTATCATCTTGGAAAGCTACAGCTTGCGCTACTTGTTCCGGTGTCATTTTTGTTGAGTATTGCTTGACAAGAATCTTTTTGACATGCCATAAAAATGCTAACAGACACAGCCTAGGTACTTGAAACGATTTCCTAACCGGCAAAGGCTGCCAGAAACAATTTCTTCTTTATGGCTATGATTCGCATGATTCTCTTCAAAACAGAATATATTCTTCAATAATTGAGATATTGACACGAATCAAAAAAATAACTGTTGAGAAAAGTTGAGGCTTAGAATTCTCATACGAAGACACATTATTCAGTGATCCAATGTTTTCACAGGGTGTTTAGAAATTTAGGCAAAATTCACCTTTTAGTTACACCCTGTATAGCAACAAACATTTTCGATTTTTTGCAACATCGGCAGTCGATAATGATGAAAATTGAATGAACTATAACTTGAAGAAAAAATTAACGAAATTCATGCAAAGGTTAAAAACTTAATTAAAATTTAATTTGAACAAAATTTTACTACCACACTCGCAAGTAAAGCCGTTTGATTCCGTACAGAAATTATCTTTTTTACACCGAAATAGCCGCGTAGGCTGAAGCTTCAATTCCAAGACATCGCTGCTTTGAGAATTTTGAAGAAATTTTGTTAATCTGATTTTTTTACCTAAGGTTAGCCGAACTGGGAAAACCCAAACGTATAAACAATACTCGAGGCTGGGTCTTACCTCGGGCTTGTATAGAGTGAGGTGGTCATGCGGAGAAAAGTACTTATTAGCCCAAAAGAAATAGCCAAGCGTTTTCCCATCAACTGCAGCTATTGGCGAGATGTTTTCGTACCAGATCACATCGTCGGTGATGAGCTCTAGGACGACTGTTGTTCGTCAAAGTACAGTACTATGTCTTGGAAGCATTAAACTGTACAAGATCATTGCGTCCCCAAGAAGTGATAACCTGCAGGTCTGGTCAGAGAAAAAGTCGCTGCTAGTCCTCCTTTTTCCAGCTCACCGGCAGAGATCGGCTTGTCGCTCTAAATTACTACATGTAGAGAGCTGTAATCAACAAAGCTGTGGATTGGGTTGATCGAACAGGAAAGGAGTTTGTTGATATGTAGGAGGAACAGTGTCACAGCCAAGTCTGATCCCTGGAACACCCGCGTTGACGTTGTGAAAAGCATCTCCAGAAGACCGTAGGATGGATCGAACAAATTTAGAAAAGTGCCCTCCAAGTGAATCTCATTCTGGTGCTTCTTATAGGCAAACAGCATTAAATATCCACCCAATTCATGTAAAATGGTTGTACATACCTAATCTAGGATAGTGTAGACATTTCGATTAAAATCTTTTGAACGACTTGACCAATTCGAACATAGCTAAAGCGAATGCCACACGATCAGGATTTACTGTGATTAGTGCCATCAGTGTATACTGATGATTATTCGATCGGTGTTGGTGGATTTCTGCGTAACCTTTAACCACCGACGTCCAGACTACACGATCAATAAATATCACATTTTGTCGTAAAGACTAACGGTCCATCTCTTTGGCCCACAATTCGAGAAGTGATTAATGCCTTCTTTTCATTTGCTGAGCTTTTATAACATTTCTTTCTGACTGGTCGAATTTGCTCACTAGGCGCAGATCTTGGCATTGGGCGCAGATGGAAAATATGTTTTTGTAGCTACACCAGAAGATCTATAAACAATTTCTTGATATAATATGAGGACTGGAGGCGCTTGCTATACAGTTCGTACAACTCCATACACCCATTAATTCAAAAAAGTTTCCTGATTGGTGTTGAACCGCGGGTTTAATAGCTCGTTATGCAACTATTCCTAATTATCATAACTGATAAATGCATAGAACGTAGCGATATCACAATTATTGTTAAAAAATGAAGGTCGTGGTTGCCTGCTCCCCTCTTTAAGCTAAATCCGTTTAGGTTATATTCAAGCTCATCCAAGTACAGCCTTGAATCCTGGCTCATTATTATAGGTGTATGACATATCCCGCCGGATAATGCAGGGCAATCCGTATAACCACCCTCTGCAGAGTTGAAGGATGGAAAAAAGTGTTAACCCCTTTACTGCTGGAATACCGAATATTCAGAGTTACAAATACACGTGCAACAAAATAAATACTAAAAAATGCTTGAAAAAGATTTCACCATACACTCGCCCTATAAGAAAAGAATCATATAATTTTCGCTCTTACCCTGGAGATGCAGTTTTTATGTAAATATGTATGACAGATCACATTTTTTATTTTCCTGTGTTTATAATAGATCCGATAATATACTAGTATTACCTACCTAACCGACAAAACATACATGGAGTGTAAAGTTAGTATTGGATCAACGGAAGGAAGGTGATAGAGGGCCTCAGAACCTATCCAATGAATCCCTATACGTGTGGTCGGAAATTTTATAGTTCAGGAGATATTTGCAATTTTGTGAAATTTCCAAAAAACAATAATGAACTTTCCATCGCAATTACAACTAAACGATTAGGTTTAGGCCTGCAATGGTTATGTCACTTCTTAACAAAAATTATTAGAACTCAACGCAAAAAATTTTAAATTCATTTTTTTGGAAAAAACCTCTCCCACCTCTCAACTTTCGAGAGCGGTAAAAAAATTGAGGTTGTATTTCATTATTAATTTTGTCGTAGAAACCATTTCAGTCCATGTAGCATAGATCCTGAGAATTTCAGCTTGCTACGATGAGTGTATCATGTCACATTCGTTGTTGTGATGCGATAAACGTAACAAACGCAATAGAATTCTTACCACGTATAAGTACAGAATCTATTGTGTTTAGCTCTTTATGGCGATTTACCGAGAAATGTGGAAGATAACAGTTTGACTAACTTTTAAAGAACATGTTCGAAATGGCCTCCATTACTTTTTATACACAAGCGACACCTTCTAATAGAATTGTCCTTTAGTCTTTGAAATGAATTTGCGTTTTCCATAATCTTTATTTTTGTTTCATCAATTTTCTGGCGCAGTTGGTTGATATTTGTATATTCAGATGTATAAAAATTATTTTATTTAGGTTTAAGAGGTTTTATATTAGATTGGGTAGTGTCTTTCCTGTCTGACAGGAAATTCAAAACAAAAGTTAACGGAATTACATCCGCAACGTACAGTATCGACATTGGAGTAGCGCAAGGCTCAGTTTTAGCACCCCTTGTATTCATTCTGTATATAAGTGATTTGCATCTCTCTGGATTTGTAACAAATTATGCGGATGATACATCAGTTCTTGTAAGTGGAACCTCACGCAATGACATTATTGCAAAAATAAATGGAGTAAAATGTGAAATGAAAGGGTGGTGCCAAGCAAATCGTTTGATTTTAAACCTCGAAAAGTCAGATGTTGTACATTTTTATACAAACGTCCCTATTCTAGCAAATCATGAGACATCGAAAACTACGACATTCTTGGGAATAGAAATGGATGCAAAGCTCAGTTGGCAACAACACATGGACAGTGTGTGTAAAAAGTTGAACCAATCATATTATGCGATTCTTAAGATCAAGTTTTGCTTATCAGAGTCAGCTTTACTAGATGTATATTATGCTCTCGTCCACTCACATTTATCAAGGAACATCATAATTTGGGGACAAGCAACTTCAATTTCTAGAGCATTTGTTCAACAGAAGAGAATAATCAGACTGATATTCAACATTCGTAGAAGATAATCCTGCAGAGATATCTTCAGAAGTAAAAACATCATGACTCTACCAAGCATTCATATTTATAAGTGCGCCCTTTTCGCACATACAAACAAAACAAAATTTATACAGAACAGAAACATCAACACCACACATTATAATACAAGGGCAGGTGAGAGTCTGAGTATTCCAAAACACACACTGACGCTGTTCGAAAAGTCACCGGAATACACCTGCATCAGAATATATAACAAACTTTCAGCTAACCTCAGGAATGTCAATGTAAACTACGCAAATTATTAGTTGAAAAATGTTTCTATTCTTTGTCTGAATACCTCGCACTGTGATATATTTTTTAAGCTTTTTTTATATGTGAATGTCTGTACGCATTAAGTTGTCCCTGTTTGTACTTTGTAAATACTTATGTTTGTTTCGTTTTTATTTTTAATTATGTGTACTATGTACCTCCCTCTTATATAGCAGTCAATAATATTTAATAGTAAGATTAGAATATTCCTCTATAGACTAAAGAGGGCATTTTACGAACATTTTTCTTGCACGGTCTACACAATAGTCACATTATCTTTTCCGTTTACATATACAGGGTGACAGTTGAGTCATTTATTTTAACAGTCAGTAGATCTGATCAAAAGAAATGTTTTTTTCCTTTACCATTTTTCTGGTAAAATTAAAGTAACAAAGTTATAGCCCTTTGGAAGTTTGAGTACCGCCCTGTCTCAATAATAATATTATGTGCTCGTGTTTGGCAACAACGGATATAATCCGCCTTATCGGTTCATCGCATCGGAAACAAAAAAGCGAAAGAATTTGGAACGATGTTTTTACAATTATTTTATTCAGTTGTATACAGTCAGTCGGTAACGCGTGAGTGAATAGTGGTGTCTGTTGCGTGGCTCAAACGAAATAAAAAATGGCACATGTTTATGCGGATCGGTTTCCCAATCGAGTGCAACCAACCCCTCGTGCCTTTCTTAATGTAGTACAACGGGCTCGTGAATCAGGTGACTTAAGACCTCACAGGGGACGGCATGCCGGTGCTCCAAGACCTCACGATCAAATACAGGTCCGCACTGAAGTACTTGTCGGGAGGATACTCTATAAAACAAGGTAATTTTTTTTTATTTTTTTTTATTTTTACACACATATTTTGGTTTATCTTCCTTCTACAATCATTATCTGAAAATTAATGACTCAACTTCAAAGTCACCTGTATAGGCAGCTTATATTATGTCAAGCGTAGAGGTGTTTTAAAACGTCGTGAGCCATGACCGTTAGACGACATGCGCGGATTCAAGTCTGTGGAGAAGCAGGCGCGTCACAATACAAGCATTGCTAAATACATAACTGATACTAGGTCTGCTGTAGGTCAGTCAAATTATTTCGGTAATTTTTGTTACACTCCTATTTATTAAATAATTTAGTGTGGTGATACAACATAAATTAATTACAGAACGCGTATTCTTTAACGGCATATTGAGAATGATATTCATTTGAATTGATTCCCTTACGAAACGTTGTTTCGCTACTATTTAAGTGTTCAATGTCGTGCTTAGAGCTAATATAACTGGCTTATAATTGTTCCTCATTATGTGTGTTTTGCCGTCGTCGTGTGGGTGCCGTGGTATGGAATCAGTAGCGTAGGCTGAGGGTAGCTGACAAGTCAATTATGGAAGAAGTAAGACTGGGTTAATCAGTATGGAAAGGTAATAATCACCACTTTTCAAACCTGATTTAAAAAGAAGTTCTGCATTCGGTCCTTTTTTCCCTACAATGCAACACAATTAATCGTTTTCCCTTGACCAGTGGTCCTTCCAGACAGGTATTTATCCCATCGTCCCAGGACTTTGGCACTGTATGAGAGCTGTGAATGTAAGTCTCATCGCTGTAAACAATGTTCCTACCTGCGAAAAGGTCTCCTCTAGAGCAAACTATTATTTTTACAAACTTTAAGCAAATTATTTTGAAAACAAAAATCTTCATTTGTTAAGTATGCGGTCTTTCATTGAAATCATTTATCAACACATTTTTGTTACATACACTGATGTTTGCTTAAGGTTTATGACAATTTTTTGATAGATATCGATATTGCTGAATGGACTGAAAACATATAACATACAACATTTCCTTGTATTTCTTCAATGTCCTTAAAAACTCAATTCGTTTTAAACGAATGTCTTTTTTTCCAATGAATATAGTTTCCAATTATCTTCCTTTTATTTCCCAGCAAAACCCTAATTTATGCAATTTTTTTCTGCGGGATCCGATTTTCCCCGCATCCCCTCCATCATTTTTTGCAGCTTCATAAACGGCTTTAATGGTAGGCCACCGCTTATGAATATGGACAAATTTATAAATTATTCCCTTATCTCTGCCTCAAACCGAGTGGCGGATTTAGAGAGGGGGCGCGGGGGGCGCCCTCCCCCCCTAGACGTCTGACACTTGCTTTTTTTAATCTAA